ATTTAGTTTATAGATACATTATATATAATGAGAAAACCTGTTTATGGCCATTTTACACAAATTTTGCATGAAGAAAAATGGTATATAAAATCATTCTGTTATAACATAGTTGAGAATGATCTTTATACAAAGTTTGGTAAAAAAAAATCCTGAAAACTAAAAATGTATTGGTGATTTTGTTTATGGCCATTTTACACAAATTTTGCATGAAGAAAAATGGTATATAAAATCATTCTGTTATAACATAGTTGAGAATGATCTTTATACAAAGTTTGGTAAAAAAAAAAAAAAATCCTGAAAACTAAAAATGTATTGGTGATTAAAAAAACAAAAAACAATTGCTTTTGCCTGTGCATGTTCATTCGTCTTTTTATTTTTTAAAGAAATTGAGTCCCAATGTCCTCTACCAAGGACATAGCTTAACTTATGAATGAAATATCATTTTTATTTTTTAATGCTCTAAACAATGTAATGACATGGAAAAAATACTAATTTTTTTCCTAAAATGTTTTGCCGGGTCTTAAGAGGTTAAGGCCCGTTCAGACCAAGGACGATAACTATAAAGATAACGATAAAGATAGTTCTAAAAATCATTCTCAATATTAAAGAATAGCAGAGTTCACACCACAGCTATAACGATAAAGGCACAGAGAAACGATATCATTGGAATCACTTCCAGAACGATTTTTTTTTTCCAGCTGATGAAGGATAAAATCATTGACACCCAATCAGAATCCTCCCTGCTATCACGAGCTGGAGAATTTAAAGCGGCAGACGCGGGTGCGCTTAGAACAAACTGACGATATCGGATAGTGGACGCTAATAGTTATCTTTATAGTTATCATTCTTGGTGTGAACGGGGCTTTAGGCTACTGTCAAATTACCTCAACATCACCACCACAAGTTTAAGTTAGAATAGTTTGCAAGAGTGTGATTATAAACACAAGGCTGTGAATGTTCGGCGTGATGATTTTTAACATCCCCAGTAACCTCTGTAGTCCAATTTAGCCTCTTGTTAGCAACAGTAAAAGCAAAACTTATTATTGTGACTATAAATTGTGAACAATTCATCTTACAGCAGGGTGGTGCTCTGACACATCAGGGTCTTCTATTGAGCGCAAAAAAAAAAAAAAAATGTGGGTAACCAAACAGTTTCTGGTCTCCACAGACTTCCATAATATATTTTTTCCCCCATACTATGGAAGTCAGTGGGGAGTAAATGATGACAGAACTAGCCTTTTAATTCAAAATATTAAAAACTGTTATATTCACTGATACTAAAATAACACTGTGATACATACAGCAAGACCTACTGAGCTGATGGAGCTTAAGCAGCTTCTATCAAGACAAATCACGGGAACGTTTTTCCTATAACATGCAGTTCAGATCCATAGAAAATCATTTTTTCTCCTCGAACAAAATCCACAAGATGTCATGATTTAAAGCATTTTATTACATAATACCTGGTTAGGCACACAAACTGTACAAAAACAAGTGCAAACTGACATTACAGATAATCAAATAATATTTAGAAATATTAATAGATCATGACTAGATTTGGGACTAGACTGTAGAAGTTTGAGCCAATAGGAAACTACAGGTTAGTTTCAATAATCATTTGAAGAACACTTGAAATATATGAATGTCAAACCATCTCAGGGTTTCTGGCTGTCTGTCACTGGAATGTCTCCATCAGTGCATCAGGCTCTAGACTGCAGAGACAGACGTGCCGTCACGTCAGAGAGATGGCTCATGTCTGCCTGCTGCGCCTGATGTTTGATGTACTCCAGAGTCCGAACCTGGAGAGGAGGAGAGAGAGGTCAGGGCATTGTATTTGCCACTGAGTGCTAATGTGATTGTGCATACGACTAACCGATGTGCGCGTGTCACAAAAGCCGTGTTTGTGACTCAGGTTCCACAGGTTGACAACCAGCTGATTGAGTTTGTTGTTGCGTAGATCACCATGAGCCAACAGACAGCCAGACAGAGAGAAAGCCAGACTGCCCTGTCTGCGCACTCCCTGAAACAAACATAAACACAGAAATATCACATAGCCATGCTAAATCATAAATTATAATAATATTACACATATATTAGATTGTCCTGACATACAGTGGCACCATATGGCACTGTTGTACTGGTACTGCATGAACATTTTACTGTTAAAAGTGGAAATATCTAACCCAGAAATATAAAAGTAAAAACATTAAATTTGACTTTTTACTAATAAGTACAACAACTGAACTTATTTTCTTTTTAATTTCAAAGATTGCTGA